TTAATTATTTAAGTTAATCTTAATCCTTTGCACCCTAATATCATTTCCTTTATTCTCATGATTGTAATGAATGATTAAGCAGTATTCCTGTAACGTAGGGAGAAATTAGATGCTGGTCACTCCAAAGGGTTTTAAGGGTTAAAATAACATTTTGTCACTTGTGTAATATCTGCAGGTCAAAATATGATGAAGTATCATTTGGAAATGTGGAGCTTGAATGACACAGTGATGAGAGCACCAGTTGTTGCCAATAGGCCATAGCAGATTCATAAAAAAGATTCACAGGAGTAAAACTTTTTAATATGTTCAATCAAGTTATTTACAATTTTTTTCTGGATATTTTTATTTAGCATGAAAGTTCCATCATCTTGAAGCTGCTTAATAATACTAAAATTTCCCTTACATGATGATATACCTGCAAATTGCTTAATTTTTTTTTTTTTTGTTAGTCAAAAGTACAAGATAATTGATTTTGTTGGGCACCCTTAATTTCATATCATAACAGCCTGAAGACTTGCATCAACCCTAAGAAAATCTCAAGATGTCCTCTTTACTGCCTTCTCATCTTAGATTGGAAGTATTCACAGAAAGCATGGTCATTTGATGATAAGTTTCTCTTCACAGAATCATTCAAGTTTTTGTAACTTCATGTCTTCTTAGAAAATGTGTCAGTCAAATTTGTGAAATAGCATTGAGTCTATTAGCCAAGATAAAAAACTGTGTGATAGTAGGTAGGTGTATTGGAACAGATTCGTGATTGATGTCTGCTCATGGCTGGCAAATTTTGTCATGTGGATATAGTATAAATTGATTTAAATTGAATAAAATTGATTTTTGAAAATAAGCAGCAGATGATTGCATTGATTGACTGATCTTAATAGACCCTTTCTTTGACCTGATGTTAATACCTATTAAGCCAGAAAAGATTTATGCAAAAACCCATTCCCATTTTTCTATATTTCTTCCTATAGTTGAGAGAGGGAAAAGGTTGCAGTATCTTATCAAGATTAATGCATTGACTTTAGTAACATTAGACATTGTTCTCAGCCTTGAAGAAAATAACTAACCAATTGAAAGAAATTTCATTAAGTGATACTCCTACATGTAAGACCTCTAACATCACAGAGTTCCATAAAGCAGCAAATTTAAAAGTTCAGCAACTTCCCCAAAATTATGGTGATCTGTTTTGCTATAGTGCAAGTAATTAATTGCTAAGATAGAATGTAGAGGTGATCAAGTGGTCACATCTGCATTTCACTGCTTGATATTGTTCTTTGCCTTCTGGGGTTAGTATGGACTGAAGTGCTCTGAAATACTGGACAAATCATTACATTGTATATTGCTTGTTCTTTAAGCAAAGTTAAGTCTTGAAACATTAATAGTCTAATAGCTAGGTCACAGGCCACTAATGACTTTGCTAAGTCTTTTTTGAAATTATTCAAAATCCACACACATTTTTTAAAAATCTAGTTTGAAATTGGATCTTTATCATCTATGAATAGATTTGAAAGACACTGCTAGATTTTATCAGTGATAAGAGTGGGCTTGCATAGCTACAATCTCCTGGGAACAACAAGAGTAAATTTCACAAAAGTTGCTCTTTTTTTCTTTATTTGTTAAGTCAGAAAAATTTCTACCACTTTTACATGAAAACACTCAAGATGGCATACAGTAGTATTTTTAACCCTTAGCATTGATGCTAAATTGAAATCAATAGTTCTCACTGTTTTACGTCCTACAACAAAAAGTTAAAATTATATCACTGTGAAAAAAATTTACTTAGCAAATAGCTAATTTTTACCAATCTAGGGAGGAGAGGAAATTAAACAGATCTTGATTTTTAAGTTAAATTAGGTTTAAAAACAAGTACATAAAGCTTGTCACACTGATCTATACAAGATGATTATCAATCCATCTGACAAAAATTGAAAGTAATCTCCATTTACTAACAAGTAACTAACTAGGATTTATAAAAGTTCATGAGTGTCTAAAACATTGTGATGAAAGAATAAGCTGAATTTTGTACATTATACCAAGAAATGTAAAAAAGTTAGATGTTTAAGCCTTTAACTCCCAGAAGTGATTAACATGTAACTTCCCCCTATATTCATAAATTATCCAGGAAACAGGTAGTGAGAATACTCAAACTTATCAGGAACAAGATATTACCTTGATTGAACACCAAATTCTCGTAACTGATTACAAAGATATGTGTAGCAGCTGGAGGGGAGAACTGACAATCAAATCTTGGGAGTTAAAGGGTTAAGCCTTTTCTTTAGGTAAGCCTGCAAATCTAGATGTGTCTTTTGTACTGTTTCTCTCCACCTAAGCTGAGAGGAGTGACAGCTATTCCTAGCCCGGCCAAGGGTAGTTAGTCATTGAAACTAACTGCATGCCTATCTGTGCTCTAGTATAACCTTTTAATGTTTTCTAAAAGCCAAGTTATTCCTTCAGAGTAAAATGCATTGTAGTGTGGGAACTCTAAAGGACACATGTTGTCTCTACATGATCTCAAAAACTGAATCTCTAATATGATACATACAGCCTTGTCACAATATAATTGGTAATGATAATGGTAGTTTCTTCATATCCAAGGATCAGTTGTGGGAAGGTCCTGCCAGGGGAGGCATGCCCTCAGATGACTAATCAGTCCTATTCTTGATGAGCAGATCCTAGGACATTAAGGGCACAGGAAGGTAGGTCCTGTTGAATCCTGCTCTCATGCTTCCTCTCATCATCTCCTCCTCTCTTCTGCCACCTCTCGTCTTGTGATCTCAAAATCTTGTGCTGCTCTTCTTGTTGTTGATCACCATGCTGCATGGTTTTCTGCAAGCTGTTCCCAATGTTTGGGGTTAATGCATGCTTGAGTTAACTGGCCCTTCAGTTGACCTTTCCAGCATTTTCTTGGAGCCCCTCTGTCTCATTTTCCTTCTGATAGCTCCTTTGGGATTCATGTATCAGGCATACAGGAGACATGGCCAGACCATCATTGTCTCAGCATGAGCATGGCCTCCATACTGGGAAGATTGGCTTTTTCCAGGACTGCATCATTGGTTCTGTAGTCCAGCTATCTAATGTTCATGATGGAGAAAAGGCAGCATCAGTGAAACTGATTTGCACTCTAAACAGTACCCATGCCTTGACCCCTTACAGGAGGGTATAAATGACAACAGCCTTATATACCAGAATTTTGGCTGAGAGGCCAAAGGGTTTTTTTCTAGGGGTTTTGTGTGAGGGTGAGCACTAGCTTCCAAGTCTTAGATTGTCTACATTGTCCAGCAGGCCATTTTGTATTCATATTCATAGTCCTTTTCTGTTTCCATGTCTGTCTTTTAGTTTATACTAAATCTTTAAACTTATTTTTACCTCTAAACTAGGGATGCCTATTGATTGGGCCAACCAACTGGGTAAGGATGAGACAAGCTTTTTTTAGGTCACCATTACTAGACCCCTCTCTATTCAGGGCAAGCAGTGCATCCCTAGAAAAGGCTGCTTGGTTACTTGGGGTGAGCTGCTTGATTGATTGTCTCTGTTAACAAGCAAGTGACCAAGTTACCCTAGACCACCGACATGCAGAGTTATTTCTGTGACTGTCATTTTTGCCATGTTCCATTGCTGCAGGTCTTTATTTCCTGCCTGCGCTCTGTATGTTTCAAGTGAGGACCACTTCATGCACATCAATCCCACTCTTTAAGCCAAGGGAAGATTCACAGTGGCTCAGCAAGTTGAGAGGCTGTAAGATTCGTAGGGCTGTAGCTTTTATAACAGAGGTGGCATCTTCTATCTTCTGGTTGAAGAGCCCACTGTCAAAAGAACAACAACTATTTACCCATAGCTAGAGCATGGGTAAAGGACTCTCTGTCATGTCCTTGAACCCAGGGTAATTGCATGACTTAATTGTCCATTACACCTGGCACTAGATAGGTTTGGATGAAGTAATCCTTCTCTTAAGTGGATTGCCCTCCCAGGCTAACGAGCTCCACCTGCCCGAGCTAGGGCTTTAAAGGTGGCCCTTTCCCGCCTGATGTACTTGTCATTGGATTTATGGAGCATTTTATAGAGGAAGCAGTGCCATCTGCAGCCTCACCCCATCCTGGTAAGTACACCGCCAGTTTGGTCTGCAACTCCTTATTCACTGGGAAGCCAGCTTATTTGGAGCTAATCTTCAGTCAAGGCCTTTCACTATCTGCCACCTTTGACCTGCTGGGTTGGGGATGGTTGCCCTGGATTATCATCAAGATAAATACAAACTTATGAGTAATTACAATTAAAGACAATAATCATCCAATCCATTATAAATGTAACAAAAACTTGAATTTCTCCTATTCATTTAAAAACTAATATTTATTACATCTAACTACACCTGTGCAAGTATTCTTAAAAGTGTGGGCCTCTGTGGCCTTTCACAACACTCTCGTGTGTGAGAGGAAGAAGATATTCGACAGCTGCTTTATTTCCCGCCCGTACAGCCCACATTAAGGGTGTCTCATCACAACCATCCCTGGAATTAGGGTTGTGACCACGCTCAAGCAGCATCTCAATGGCTGCAACGTCACCACCAATTGCTGCAGCAGATAGAACAGTCAACCCGTCCCTTACTTTTCAAATTTTCATCAGCGCCCATTGCAAGCAGATAGTTTGCAGCCTCCAGTTTACCGTTTATCAAGCAAAACAACAGTGGTGTTACACCAAGGTCAGTACATCTAGCATTTATGTCAAAATTTTGAGAGAGCACAGCCCTCAATAGTGACAGCATTGTTAGAAAGAGCAGCAAATGGAGCAGACCTTGTCCGAATTTATTTTGAAGTAATGGATCAGCACCTTGAGCAAGAAGATATTTTAAAACCTCTGTATTTCCAAGACGTGCAGCATGCATCAATGGCGTGTTTCTCATTATCTCTAGAAACAATGCTACAACCATGTGAGAGCAGCATCTCAATGGCTGCAACAGAACCACCTGCTGATGCAAGGGACAAAAGAGAGATTTTTCTCTCAGTGGTTTTCAAACTTTCATCAGCACCCTTCTCAAGCAGATATTTTGCTGCCTCCAATTTTTCAAAGATTATGGAAACCATCACAGGGGTTAAACCCAGAGTTTCACCTCTGGAATCAATATCAAGACCTTTAGAAAGCATGGTCTCAATAATGATGACATTGCCAGACTGAGCAGCACAATGAAGAAGGCTCCATCCACCTTTCCCTTTCAGTGATGGATCTGCTCCGTGTTTAAGAAGACAATTTACAGACTCTATCTGTCCAAAAGCTGCTGCACACATTAATGGTGTGTTTCCCTGCCCATCTCTCAATTAACACTTAAACCACGAGAGAGCAATAACTCAATTGCTGCAATACTTCCATGCTCTGATGCAGTGTGTAAAGCATTCCTCTTTTCAGATCCTACTGTCAAAGATATATCTGCACCCTTTTGAAGAAGATATTTCACAACTTCAACATGGTTTTCCATGACAGCAATCATCAATGGGGTGGTTGAAGATTCATCATCTTTTGAATTAATGTCAATGTCAAAAGAAAGCATGCTTCTCACAATGGAAGTGTTGCCACCTTCAGCTGCCGCATGAAGCAGATTTAATCCTATGAAGTTTTTAATGTGTGGATCAGCTCCCTTGCTGAGAAGAAGGTTTACTGTCTTCTCTTGCCCTTTGGCAGCTGCCACCATTGAGGGTGTTGTACCATCATTATCCCTTGAATCTATGTCTAATCCAGAAGATAGCAAAGTCTCAATTATAGCTTCATTACCACCTGCTGCAGCACAGTGTGGATTCCACCCTCTGGTTCCAACAGGCACACCTCCTTTCATGTCAGAAGTTTCTGTAGCTGATAAGAGCATTGATTGAGTGTTGTTATCAACACCAGCAAGGACCACACAAGAAGTCATATTCTCAAGAATGCTCAGAGCAGAATCTCCATGTTGAACACCAGCTGTTGATAAATACAACAATTAATGAAACAAGAATGTGTGTGACACTTTTTGAAAGAAAGGTTCAGAGGTTGGAAATTCAAGACTTTGATGCCCAATTTTCTAATTGATTTACATTTTTTTTGCAGTTTAAATCCAAAACAGATGCACCCAGAGAATCAACTTTATATATATGAACACTGGCAGCATGCATGCCAGCTAATCCTTTTAGATCACTTTAAGTCATTTAATGAAAACTCTGTGGGTGTCTTCCCATCTAGGTGACACAAGGTTCCCAACCCACCAAAAAAGTTATGTTGAGTGAAATTACTGCAATAAATTATCTAATCCTCTGAAAAACTGTTAATGACAGACTACTTTCATAAAGCTTTCCTGACCCAAACTATTTGCTCACCACACCACAGCATGGAAGTAACACCCTTGCATGATCTCATTTCCAGCCTCTTCTTATATAAACCATATCTTAACTCAAGTTTTATATTCTTTTTCTCTGAAGGAGCAAGATTTTGGATTTCAACGGGGAACAATTTTTTTTTACTTTGTGGAAATGATACATGCTATTGATTTTTATTGTTGGACATACATGTATTGTTTGATGAACAAATTGATGACAGAAAGATGTGAGTTATCATGGTTCAATGGATGGACTAACTAGTTGATTGATTGATGGAATGGAATGGTATAAAATATACCTGGACCAGAAACTGGGTCTGATGCCTCCTCAGAGGCCTCTCTTTTTTTCTTCACAACAATGTTAACATTGCTTGGGCTAGGAGCTGTTCGTTTCCTATTTCTGATGAAATCTCCTTGAAGCTCAATTTCTTTGGCAGAAGGCTCTTGTTCAGTCTCTTTACACTGATGAACATCAGATTTTTCACTTCTCTGGTCAATTAGTCTTGCCCCTAAGCCTGCAGATAGAGTATTAAGAAAAGTAAATCCAAAAGTTTAGGAGGATGCCATCAAAATGGCATTTTCTGTGAGGTGCAAGCATAACAATTCATATTGTTTCATTTTAGCAGTCAAGGAAAAATATGGCTCTCTGACTGTCTTAGAACTTGAATTGCTAGAATGATTATCCACTTGTTACTTTGTTAACTTAATTTTAGAGCTGCAAAAAAATGAACCCAGGATCTGGAGAAAAGCATAAGAAGCCTGATGATTTTTTATTTTTGCAAAATGACTTTGATAAAGGTTTGGTAAAGTCACATTGATTATGGACAACTGAGTGCTACATCATAGGTAACAATAAAATATCAAATATGGACATTGATTTTCCACAAAATTTGCAAAGACATTACCATACTGATGAACATGATCAGTCAGTGCTAATTCTCTATGGCTCTTACCACTGGATGAACATGCCCCTCCATTCTCATGTTCTGAATTCCAAGTTTGCTTGTTTCCTGAAGTAAAGATTAGAATGCATCTACCGGTAAATAGGGTAGTCTCATATTGAATGGTCACAAACTACAATTTATGGCCAACACTATTTTTAATAACAGTTACTGAATAGTATGGCCATAACTACCAACTTGTAGCCTTGGATTACCAGTTTTCTTAAATGTAAATTTGTCACATTCTACTGTCCCTATAGCATTTAGAAACAACTGCTAACTGGTAAATTGAATATTTAATGCAGAACATGTGAGTTTTGTCATTATTTCAAATTTGATTAAAACTTCTGCATCTCTGATGTAAGATGAGAAAACTTACCAAATGCAAGATTGTACATCTTTTCAACAAGGAAATTACAATGCTTCTCCCAGCTGAACTGCTGCAAATAATTTTCACGAAGAATCTTAGCCTCTGCAAGTCGTACATTCCTTTTCTGTCACGCACAGCCTTTTTTATTGCTTTGGCCCAGTCTGCAGGATCCTCTGAATCCACTATACACTGTGACCCATTAGACACCTCCTTTAAGGCTTCTGCAATTCCTGAGTTACCACTGACAAGTACTGGAAGACCAGCAGATATGGCCTGAAGAGCACTCAACCCGAATCCCTCAGTTTTTGAGGGCAATATGGCAATATCCACCACAGAGAATAAGTTTGCTAATGTTTCCTGTTTCCATCTAAACTGCTGATACTTAGCTGATTACGACCAATACCACACTGAAGTAACCTGCCTGCTAATTCATCTTCTTTTCCTTTCTGTTTAGAAGCAAACTTCAGTTGGTAGGATTTATCCTTTAGGTCAGCAATAGCTTTTCGCCAAGCGATATTGTACCCTTTTAACATCAAAATCTTCACTATCACCACTCTCAATTACCAAGATGCAAAATGTTCTTCTTGTGTCACTTGCTTGCTGCACATCTGAAAATTCCGCCAAAATGCTCGGCGTCAGGTTAAAAACATCTTGTTTTCTGAGTTGGTTCTTATATGCCTCAGTTAGCTTGGGGCCAATTGTTACAACTTGATCCGCCATTACACATAATTCTATTTCTGTTTGCTACTTTTGTTGACCTTCAGAAATGTTTTTGTACATGCCAATTTCTTCAGGGGCAGTATGGACAACTTGAAGCCATTTGCAATGACTGTAATTGGAATTTCTCTTTATGATTTGAATTTGCCGACCAAGAGCTACCCATGGCCTAGAACACAATCCATAGCATGGCCTTGAGGTACAGAGGCTAGCCAATCAACTGGTTCAAAACCACCCAGTTTAACTGCTTCAATGAGTTTAACATTGTAACTATCAGCATCATTCTTGTCCTCTTCACTACACCGAGGTAAGAAGACACTGACTTCCACATTGGGATGTTTAGCCATCTGTATTGCTAGCTCTCGGTTGAT